ATGCTCATGTACATGGTTAGTGCAATTGAAGTTTTATTATTATCTTTTTAAATTACAATTAATAATCTTAGTTTATATTTCGAACAGGAGTGAAATAGTATATTTGAACAGTTAACCACCCTGGTAATCAAGTGTATAGGGCAAGACCTTTATGTGAATTTAATATTTCTTATAAAAAGAAAAATATCAAATATATTTACCAATATTTAAAAGTTCTAAATGAATTATGTATAATTATTATTGTTGATTTTTTATTACTAAAATTATTATACTGATTATTATATTATATTAATAATTTGAGTTATTATTTGCTATTTGAAAATAGAGGTGTGTTAATAGTATCTCTAAATTTGTTGAAGAATTATATGAATACTTAAAACAAAAGGTGAGAAACAATCCAGATCTAATACAAGATACAGAATTTGCCAAAATATTGTTAGATGGATGTGCAATTACAAATCCTACACGCTTAAATAGTCTGAGAAATCTTTGTATGATTCAAGTAGCATTTCATCAGAACATATAGAAGATATTTAATCTTTATTCATAGAAGAAAATGTTGAGGAGCTGCCTGAGTCAAAGAATAATTAAGTAATTGTCTTAGTATTAGATAGTGTTCCAAAAATCTGAATCTGACAGATTCAGATTATCATCTGATCTGAACTATTGGATCAAATTGGGCCTAATAAAACCGGATTGATTCTCAGATTGAGTTATAAATACAGAAAAAATTTGTATAAAAAGTGCTGAGCTCACGGTAAATTTTTATATAAACTATTTTTTTTCTTTCAAATCATCAGCTCATTATAAAGAGCTGTTTGTAATAATAAAAACTAGGTGCACTTTACAAAAACACACTGACTTCTTTGAATCTTTAGTAGTAACCGAACTTTTTACAGCTAAGTTAATTATAACATTAACATAACCTATCTAAATCACTTATTCACCACCATAGCTCATAAGTATAGTAACTGAACTTTTTACAGCAAATTACTATACAAATCATGATAAGCCTATTACAAACTAATATAATACTATCTAAATCACAATAGTTGGTAAGTACAGTATCCACAAATTTTTATAGTAATCCACTATTCAAAATTTCATAACTAGACAAGTGATAATTAGATATTAATCAATTAATTTAACAAGCAAAACTTAATACAAAGAAATTTTAAGTCATTATTGAATACCAGAGTAATTGAAAGAGGAGTTCTCGAGAAGATGTTTG